TGTTCCCACCCCATTTCTCTGGGTCCTGGTGGGTTTAAGCCTCTTTATTCCATCAATGTCATTTTAATAACATTTCACAAGGAAACAGTTAAACATCTATAATGAACCCATCATGTATTATCTGTGGGTCGGAGCTGAATCTCAAATCTTTACCACGTGATCAAATAAGGAGGGCGCTCTGATGCGAAGAGCGGCATGGAGAGAGAAAGTACTGAGGAGGGAAACGCACCCAACAGCCAAGGACCAGCGAGACTGCGAGGGAAGAGCCGGCATGCAGCTTGCCGCGAATGGCAGCAAAACAGGCCCAGGGCAAGGCCTTTCCTCTCACTCAGCTTCCATCTGTCCACATTTACCAAGCTCTGAAGTGCTCGGAACACACGATAAATGAAGACTGTAATCATTATAATCTTATTTTCATATACATCTCCTGTGCAAGATCACTTTTAAAAAAAGAGAAAATGAGCAATGCACACTAAATCCAAAAGATTTAAAAACAAAACATATGGTACCATAAGCAGCGAGTCCTTCTGATTGACACTTTCTGTTAGACGTTTGATCTCCTGCTCTTGGCTGTGCACTTTTTTATTGCTTTCAATCAAAAGACTCTTGTAACGATTCTCCATGGCTTTCTCTCGACCCTTCAAGTCATCATGTAATTTTTCAACTTGATTTCTAAGGTCCTGCCACAAGAGGAGGGGGGGGAGGATTTACTTGACAGAACTTTCCAGATGATGCCTGTTTGACATGCCAAATTACCACTTGGAAGAGAGCAAGCTAATAAATGCATTAAACAAATGTGTACTTTCTTCTCCTTCAAAGTCTCATGAAGATCAACTTTAAGATGAGTCTGAATTTTTTTTTAATTCTTATACACCGAAAATTTATGACATCATTGTTTATAATATGAAAATGAGAGAGAAATTAGATGTCCAAGAACAAAGAAATCATTTTAATGAGAATATGAGAAACGCACTATCAGGAGTGGAAATTTTAGAGGATAAGCAACCCGACTTATTCAGCAAAGAAACGATAAAGAAAAAGGACAGGCTGGAGGTCAGAATAAATCATGTACTGCTGTTGCTGATTAGGTACCAGCCAGTTGGCTCCAACTCACTGAGACCCCATTACAGCAAAACGCAAACTCGCCCAGGTCCTGTGGCACCCCCACAAGTGCTGCCATGTTTGAGCCCGTGGTATAGCCACGGTGTCAACCCATCTCCTTA